CAGATACCCTGCCCTCTCTGAGCTGGGCTTATTTAATACTGGTAACCCTTGTGCTTTATTTCTGGCCATGAGAACAATCACTGAGCTGCTTTCTCTGATCCACTGGAGGTCGTGCTTACAGTCATGCAGGAGGCAAAGATTACTATGGCCAATTCACTTCGGAGGCATTTCAGCAGCTTAGGAAAAAAGTGCACAAATAGACCACCCCCAACTGCTGCAGAGGAACCCACGGTCTGCACTTCTGAATAATGGGGGGACTATATTATTGTGACTGTAGAATAAATTCCTCAGGTATAACAAAAGGAAAATAAAACTTGTTGTAGATATGGAAATCACACACTTAAAGAAACACATTAAAACTCAAAAGCATCAAAGTCAGGCAGCTGACTTTCAGAAAAAAGTGGCAAGACATCTACTTTCCTGGCACTATGAAGATGGGAATTCAGGCAAGACACACAGACGTGTCTTTTATAAGCCATCATTAAATTGCATTGTTTTCATTTTTAGACCGTTTGCTATTATATCAACTGACCTCTTATTTTCTTTTCCAGTAGTAGTAGTAGTCACAAATATGAAAACCAAGTTGAGTTTCTGAAGGGCAAGATCTCTATCCTCTCCCTTGCAACACTAATTCATGGTCGAATCTGGTCCGACTCCCTACAGCTGAACAGACCCCTAAACATGATTTTGCTTTAAACCACGGGTTGTAAGTTGGCAAACTGTGGGCCCTCTTCTATCTGGAGATGTAGTTGTTGGGTCTACGTTAAACTCTAAACCAACTGCCATCATTTACAATGGAGAGATTTGATAACGTTTCGAAGCTCTTCCAATACTCAGCGGCAGCTAATAGCACATGTACTGTTTTAGATGGAGCATGTCCTGCCAGCTGGCCAATGAGCGGCTTCACTTCTTTGCATAGACTTCCTGGATCTTTTAGGCTTTTAAATTTTCAACCCCTATTTTAAATGGACATAGACCTCTGGTCTGGAGACCCAAAAGGGTGTCAATACTTCTCTGAAAGACAATCTGGTTTCCCACGTCAGGCCGTTACTCTCATTACTGCTTATATCAGAAGTTGAAAACAGAACACCAAATAGAACTTCTGCTACAGGTGGGCTTTTTATACTTCTTTAGATGGGGACTCTGTGCAAAGTTACTGCAGATGCACATTTTAAAATTATTGCCATGATACTGCATGTTCTATCAGCACACAGACAGCCGTTGCCTGACTTTACTGCCAATCATGGTAACTTCATTGGAATGAAAAGTTCATAAAGAAAAAAAGAGGAACAAATTATTTCTTCTAACTTTTAATAGCAGTAGAATTTTTTTCTTGCTTCTACAGTAAACAGAAATGAGAACATGGAACTAAACTGGCATTGTCTGTACCTGTCTAATGTTTATGGAAAAAGCTATGAAGTTTTAGGTTGTTCTTGGGATGCAGGCTTGCATTCAAGCCTGGTACACATGGTATTATAGAGAGTAAGTGTGAGTTGACTCTCCACATTGATGGTTTTCTACAGACAGTTTAGCTTGAGTGCTGTGAAGTCATGTGTTAAGCAAAGCAGCTCTGACAGGAAGTGTACTGATGTCTCCCTGCACTTCTTTTTAATATCCAAAGTCTATTATGACTTAGAGTCTTTTAGATCCTGTTGAAAAAATCATTACCCAAGAGCCTATTATTCTGTTTCATCTACTCCGAGGTCCTTTAAACTACAGCCCTACAGATGGTATTAAAATAGGTAGGATGTTTGCAATTCTGTCTCCACCCTGGACTTTCAGTCACTGGGGATTAAGGAGTCACAGAAAAGGAGACAGAAGGTGACTCAAGTCAAGGTATGTGTGGGATTTCAAACCAGATTTGGAATCCCTGATGCTTGTATTTTCTCTCTCCAAAAGTTGCCTTTCCTTTTACACATCACAGATACACCAGAATTTGAAATCTTACAGCCTTAACTCTATTGTCAAGTTTATCTATGGGCAGCTAGGTTTCTGTTGTTTTCCTTGCGCAGGATTCATAGTGGACTCGTCGGGAGATACATATTTCTAAGAATAGGGCAGTTGGATTATTTGGCTGTTAGCAGATTTTAGAAAATGGGACTGAGTCGCCCTTACTTGTGGGCAACTTTCCGGCAAGTTCAAATAATAAAAGCAAATTCAGTTTATGACTTGAAGTTACTACTCGTTGGTCTGAAAGCCTTGTCAGAGAGGTTCTCTTATTGGCGTAATTAATTTATATCACTGACATTTTGTTGTCATTTTCCTGTTTTTGTTTCCTCCTTCTTGATGTTCTTTCTCTCTTTTTAAATCATTTTGAATGAAACATCCCTGAGAGGATACAGTGCAACATCTGCATCAAGCAGTGATTGTCATTTACGAAGCATGAAGTGAGAAACACAGATCATGGGTCCTTCCTTCCTGTGCATGCTGGATCGCGAGTGTGCTGTGAACATTTTCTAGTCCTCAGGAGAAGGGACAAAGTGCTAGGATTGCATGTTGTAAAGAAAGTTGTTCTCACAAAAATTTCAAAATACCTTGACATGTAGCCACAGGAGATGCTCAAAGGATAGCTTTCAAGGCCTTGTCCCCATTGAAAACATGTCGTAATTCTCTTTGAAGGGGAAATTTGGCAACCGTGGCCCGAACTGGAAATTGCTTCTCTCAACGGAAGTGGGCCGGGTATGTACTGGTTTTCATTGTCTTGTTCTACTTCAGTCTCTCGCACTGCTTCCTGCCCCTTGGTTTCTAAAGATTCTTGCCATCCCAGTAGAAATGCTTGCACTAGTGGAAATGACACAAATTCAAAACCAGTACCTCCCAAGGCAAATGTGGGGAACAATCTTTTTCCTACATCACCCGTGAGATGGGGTGGGGGGAGAAATTCCCAGTCACTTCATCAATTGAGCCAATTTAAATCCTTGAAGGTAAATTGGAGGAAACAAATAATTCCCTTTGCAACTGAACAGGAATTACAGGCTGACAGTGGGAAACACAAGGCCAACAGAACAATGAAAACAAAGTTTGACATAAGTTCAAAGCTCAAAGGGAAACACCAAGTAGACACATTAAGCATCGCCTATCACCAGCCAATCATAAAACATACATTGCATTTGGAACCGGCTTGGTTTAATTGAGTGCCTTCCATTACCCTGTTTTCCTAGCAATCAGTAAAGTAATCTTTCCATTAGAAGGAAATATGACTCTTGGAATTAATTCTTTATACAAAGAGCTAGCAGGAGTGACATTTACACCAAAAAGAACTGAGTCCCTGTAGCAGCATAATAAGCAGTCTACAGCTGTCTTCTTAGAACCAAAGGTAATTTGGTTCAATGCAGTTAAATTAATTGAATATAACAGTAGTTGAAAAAGAGATTCATTATTTTAAAGACTTTTTGTTTTTCCCCATTGGCTTGGAGTTCATCAATCATGAGGTGAGAAAAAGCTTCGTTTTCTAAAAGCAAAAAGACTAACACTACTGTTTTGATCATCAATCAGGAGTTCTGAAGCATCTTGGAGAAGGCTCTCAACCATGAACTTCAGGAAAGCATAAGAGATGAAAAAAAAATCAAAGTTTCCACCGATGGAAACTTTACAAAGCAGGTGCATGTGTTTGACAATGAGAAAGGGTAGATCTTTGTGAGTTTGTGGCTGGACTATACTGAATGGGAGATCATGATTTTCATTGTCTTATACACAGACTTCTCCCCTAGCTTCCTTCAAAAAAATATTTTCTTTTGGATCGGGTAATACAAAAGGCATAGGCCTCCAAGACATAGGCAAAATTTGGAATTTGTGCTTTTCTGATGATTAATTTCACTGGGAGAGCAGGTGGAGAAGAGAACTTGTCCGAGGCAGTCGAAATTCTCTGGTCCTGATGTCACGCTTGCATTCTGTACTTTTAAAAGTTGTTACAAAAATAATCTTAGGGTGACTAGATAGTAGAATTTCAAACTGTATAGAAAAAAGCTTTGGCTTTGGAGTATGTTGGTTCCATGGAATAACAGATTTTTTTTTCTCCAAATCTTTCAAGTTTTTGTTGTATTCCTATAATACAGTGTTATGGAGTTGAAAGGCATTAGAGGCCCCAGACCAAAAGGACTTCCCCTTCATTGCTGCTTTTCCTAACAAATGTATTAAAGAGAATAAAGAGAAAGAATTTCTGGTTTTTATTTTTGTTTTACTTTGTATATTCTCTTTCTGCCTCTTCTTTGCCAAAAAATGGTTATGGAGAAAATGTTTACATAAAATGATATTGGGACTTTGGGTTCCAATTTACTCTTTCACTCCAATTTTTATATTAAAAATTGCTGGTGGTTATAATCCACAGAATATTTTTTGGTCAAAGAGATAATAAGCACCAAAAATCAAGTTTCGTTCACAACTGAATATCCAAATGAAAAAAGTATTCCATATGTTTTGGTGAAAATCAGAAAATACCTATTGTTGGGTCAAAAAAACATCCTGGATCTTATAGTATTCTCTATGGCCGACTTCTTAAAACAGGAAAATGGCTCCAAAGACTTTTTATCTTCCCCAATATATACCATCTTGACAAGGCTTTGATGTCATTAATAGAAACCGAGTTCTTATATGGAGGCCATGTAGTATTTTACTCTTTTGTAGACATTTCCAAATTGGTACCATCCCATTGACTAGATAAAAACTCAGGCTAGCAAAGCAAAATCCTGATTGTCTAACTTAAAGGTAACACATAACACAAAAGGTAACTAATATAAGAGAGCCTGACTGAACCTCCACTGCTAGTAGGTATGGTGTTTAAGCCACAGTGCATGTGCATGTATAAGTAATAGTCATATATAATATCCTCACATATTATATACTTATTACATACATGCACGGTACTTTCCAAGACAGCTACAGATTTACACATGCATCAACTATCTAAAAACATAGAAATAGGTAAGTCTATTAAGTGGAATTGTCTTAAATTATATTTGAACAATCAACAGGAAAAGTAATCATGTAAAGTACCGCTCTGTTCTTGTATATATCTACAATAAAATTCTATAAACAGTTGTCTCCCAAAACATACCCGAATAAAATTAAAAAAAAAGGTAACACCCAGTGTCCTATATTTGTATATTTATGATCATTTCAAAAACAAACAAACAAATAGAAGAGCCCCCACTCAGGTGCATATTTACATTCTTCAAACTGTAGCGGTGAAAAATAATTCTATTAAGTGCAGGACATTCCTAATGTTGCAGTAGTGACATTTTTCTTAAGTCTTCATGAACACATTGCTTTTGTCTTAATGGTGATGCATTCCATGACTACGAGACAGTCCTCTCGTCCCCTTCATTTGCAGACGGTAGCACAGTCAGGATTAAAGAGCTCCTTGTATAATGGAGGAAACAGTGTATTCACTATGTCTGGATGAGATTGCTTAAATACCTGCAGCTTCTCCCCGTGCAAGTTGCAGACTGCTGTGATGGTTGGAATCTTGGCTATTAACTGCAGAATGGAGAGAGAGAGGGGGCGGACAAAGAGGGAAGCTCATTAGTGCTGTCTTCTGAATCAGCGTCCTCCTGCCCCAGTTGAAGGTAAATGGCTTTGGGGAAGATTTCTTTTTAGAAAGAAAGAAGACTCACTTTCAGCTTCTCCTTTAGAACAAAACAGAACAAATCGCACCCCTACCCAATATCAAGTCCACCTCCTAAAGGGAAAATAAAGAAAAAGCAGACAAACAGGCCCACGCTTCTTGAATCATTGTTCTTAAATAAAGTATGTAGGAAAGGTAGTCTAGTTGAATAGTTACAAGTGGGTATGCCATTGGCTGCTTGAGTTAAAATTCTGGTTCCAAAATAGCTGAACAGCTGTGAGGTACTCTGGGTCTCAGTGTTCTCATTGGCAAAATGGGCTCACTAAAATATTATACTACCTTGGGACCAGCAGTTAGCGTAATGGCTATTTCGCTGGATCCCCATGTAGTCAACCACGGTTTGAGTCCCAGACCCCGTGGCTTAAACTCACGCCAGGTGCATGTGCGTGCATCCCCAAGATCCTGAGAGGAGGAGGGAAGAGAAGGGATTGTGGCATGGCCATCCCCCCTGGGGGGTGATTTCTCGCTTTCTGTGTCTCTGTCTCTCTCTGTCTTTCTGGCAAGCACACACACCCTATAACAAAAACCTTTCCAGCAGACGGTAGCACAGTCAGGATTAAAGAGCTCCTTGTATAATGGAGGAAACAGTGTATTCACTATGTCTGGATGAGATTGCTTAAATACCTGCAGCTTCTCCCCGTGCAAGTTGCAGACTGCTGTGATGGTTGGAATCTTGGCTATTAACTGCAGAATGGAGAGAGAGAGGGGGCGGACAAAGAGGGAAGCTCATTAGTGCTGTCTTCTGAATCAGCGTCCTCCTGCCCCAGTTGAAGGTAAATGGCTTTGGGGAAGATTTCTTTTTAGAAAGAAAGAAGACTCACTTTCAGCTTCTCCTTTAGAACAAAACAGAACAAATCGCACCCCTACCCAATATCAAGTCCACCTCCTAAAGGGAAAATAAAGAAAAAGCAGACAAACAGGCCCACGCTTCTTGAATCATTGTTCTTAAATAAAGTATGTAGGAAAGGTAGTCTAGTTGAATAGTTACAAGTGGGTATGCCATTGGCTGCTTGAGTTAAAATTCTGGTTCCAAAATAGCTGAACAGCTGTGAGGTACTCTGGGTCTCAGTGTTCTCATTGGCAAAATGGGCTCACTAAAATATTATACTACCTTGGGACCAGCAGTTAGCGTAATGGCTATTTCGCTGGATCCCCATGTAGTCAACCACGGTTTGAGTCCCAGACCCCGTGGCTTAAACTCACGCCAGGTGCATGTGCGTGCATCCCCAAGATCCTGAGAGGAGGAGGGAAGAGAAGGGATTGTGGCATGGCCATCCCCCCTGGGGGGTGATTTCTCGCTTTCTGTGTCTCTGTCTCTCTCTGTCTTTCTGGCAAGCACACACACCCTATAACAAAAACCTTTCCAAAAAAAAAAAAATTATAGTGTCTACTTAGTTGAGCGGTTGCGTGGATGAATGGAGGTACTTTATATACAAATGTTAAGAACACTGTAGACATGAATCATAATTGTTACTGTTATTATTAATATTATTATTATTCATTTCCTACAGATTTTGATGACATGACTTTTAGATTTTTAGCTTTGGAAGGTGACAGTGTCAGAGAAGTATACACAAACTTATGACGTATAATCTGTAATGATCTATATTGCTTACCTGTCAAGCTAGCCAAATCCCCCTTGTCTCTGTAATCCCTTTCCACTGTAACGCATGAGACAAAACCTATGTTTAACTCAGAAAGTGTCTGGGAGGCCGCATGCACTTAGCTTCCTTAGGCAGGTATTTTAATAATGAGCAGGAGACTATCCACTTATAATTGCTAGGTTTTAGTATATATGTATGATGTAGTTTTTTGAGTTAAAATACACAGAAGGCAGTATTTTATAATCATTTTAAATATCCACAATTTGTTAAATGCTGCATAGGTCTTCGGAGATGACCAATGTTAGCTTCTAAAGTACTTATCACTGATGGACACTCCAAATTCATCAGTCAGTGTCAAAATTAGCTTATGTCGTTGTGATACATGTCGTGATCGAATTGCTGTAAGGAATATGTTCTCATATCGCGAGCCCTCTCATGAAAGGCGGGCATGATGTTCACAGAGCTGACTAAAGACACACTTGAAAGTGATGATAAAGTACAATACAATAAAACCCATCTCATCACCAATTAAATTCATCGTGTGCCCTACCCTGTTCAAAAACAAGAGTCTGTGTCAGCCTTTGAAGTCAAAGAGGAAATAGATAATTAGTTACTTTGTGGTTTTTCAAAATCAGAAATTTCCACTCTTTCATTAACTTCCCTTTTAACAATTAATGACTATGCAACCATACTATAAGCAATTTAAAAATAGCATCAGGATTCGAGCTGCTGACCCATTCATTAAAGGGATCTAGAACACATGAAGCAGTTTGAGGGTTCAGACTTTCCAGCCTGACCATCTCCACTGCTATTTAGAGACAGGGATAAAAATGAAAATGTGGAAACCTTGTCTATTAGAATGGATGTTAAATTTTAGGTTTGGCGTCGAGACCATCTCTGATAATATAAATTACGTTTTTTTTTTCTTTTTTTAGGTTTTTGCCATAGGGCACATGCACTCACTGGAGAGGGAGAGAGAGAGACAGTGAGAGGGAAAGTGAGAAATCACCCCCCAGGAGGATAGCCACATCACAATCCAAGTCTCAGTTACCTGCTGTATACCCCCTCTGCACGGCCTGGTCGACCAGCATAGTTCTGCGGCTTGGTCCCTAATAGCGTGGACTGGCACTAGTCTGTGGACCAGGGGTGGGGGTCCCCCGGGGTACGGGGTGGGGGTCCCCTGAGGTACATCATTTGCTGCAGGCTCATATGCAAAGACTCTGTGGGCTTGGTGCCCTGGAGGAACGAAAGGCAGTCCAGGGTCACTGGAATGGAGGTGAGTATATTCAGGGTTAATGCAAGAAGGGCGAGCGTGGCCAGATAAAGAAAGCCCTGAGTCCATGCCAGTCTCTGAAGGACAGTCCGCATAAAAGAAAGATGACCAGAATCTTATCCTGAAAAATTCACTTTTAGTCTAGAGTGCAGAACTGTGTCTTTTCTATTTTTTTTATATAGAAAAAGTGTGGGCCACACTAGTGGTTAAGGCAGACCACACACACAGCCAACTGTACAGTTTGTGTCCCAGACTGGTGACTTCAGAGCCAGATTACCTTGGTTTGCATCTCAGCTCCACCACTTATTGATAGTTACGTGGCCTTGGGCAAATCACTTAACCTCTAAGCTTCCTTGTCCATCAGAGGGAGATTCTAATGGTCTCTGCATCGGAGGGAGGTTGTGAGATTAAATGAGTCAATACAGATTGTTATTATTATTTTTTACAGCGGTGTCTGGCACACAGCAGTGATATACGTGGCAGCTGTTATGTTTCCATTCCATATAATGTTTCCTTCCAGGAGAGAAATAGTCAAGGCCATGCTTTTCAGTCAAATGACATGGAGGGCAGGGAACCAGGTTAGCCCTTAAGCGAGCACCAACAAATCAAGTCTCTGTGCATTGTGTATTAATACATAAGAAAACCAGCTATTTACATTTATTAAAATGGCAAAGCAAAATTATATTGTTTTTTTAAAAAAGTTTTCTTATAGCAATTGCTGTAAGTTGCTTGTTTATTAACTGTAACAGGTTCGCAAGGCAGAAAACTCTATGTAATACAATTCTTAAAAGCATTTTTCTGCTCCTTTAGTGAAGGAGTTGGGTGGGAAATTAAATATGCAAGAGTATGACTGAAACCCTTCTACAGTTGCTTAGTGGACTGGGAATATTTAACCGTGTGTCTAGTTTTGGAAACTAAATATGCCCTCTGGCTACTTCCCTGCCCCAAACTGGGATTTAGGACTGGTTTGGGACTCAGTCCTGCTCCTTTCAATGGGATTTGGATCCCATCCCTGTGGCTCATCTGTAGAATGGGCCAAAGGGTGAGAATTGCTTCTTGGTAAAGAGCACCCAGAACATTTGAGCAAAGAGCATCGAGAAAGCCAAAAGCTTCCTTCCTAGTCCTCTAAGCTCTCAGAAGAGGTTGAATGAGAGACGTCCAGTCAGCTGTGGAATTCCAAGTGCTGACAGGGGCATCCATCACTCTGGAGGCACGATGGGCCAGGAGGCCATGAGAAGGCAACACTTGCCGGGGCCCAGAAGGGCCTGGCGGAGGAAGCAGCAGGCAGTCATTTATTGCTCATTAATATTATGTACTGCAGCTGGGGGACCCCCATTTCAAAGGGAGCTCAGAGCAGCCTCAGCAGCAGTTAATGGCTCAACAACTTTTTAAACAGCTGGGGAGGTGATCCAGAAGCACTTGGAGATGGAGGGGGTAGTCAATTTCAAATCATCATGAAATTCCTTCATGTTTAAATAATCCCCATAGCAGAAGTAGACAGAGAGTCTGTAAAAAAGGCATTTTCACACTCATCTCTTTCTTATGACAAGCATTTCTTATAAGAAGGAAGCTTTAGCTTATACCTACAGGGGTCTACAAGAAGAAAAAGCAGCTGTTTGAGAAGAGATAATAATTCTATGCTTCTCTCCAGAGGGAGGTTTTATGAGAAAGTCACAATTTTATAACTGGAACATTTGATGTTGGAAAAATGGGACATGCAGAGGGGAAAATGAGTGATCTTGTTCATGTGGGCTTCCGGGCCATCAAGATACCCTCCCACATGAAGCAGGAAGCCAGCCATGGTTTGATCAGAGCAGAAGAAACCTCAAGAGCATGGATGAAACAGGGTGTATAAAGTGAGCCTGGAGACAGCCATTTGAGTCTATTCATTTTCTTTTTTTGTTTTTAGTCAAACCTAGAAATTTCGATTAGAATGTTAATATTGCATTTACGATATCTTTCCAGGTCATAAATC